AGGTGCTCAGGCATGAAACTGTGCCGCTCAAACACTATACTTTTCCGCTCACACTGAAAAAAAATTAGAGGGAACATTGGTAGAGAGACAATTAAACATATTGAATGTATTTTCAATAAAAGCTAAATAGGGGACATGTTTGTCATTCATTCATGAGCATTAACTCAGTAAAATCATTCTGATTTAGCCCCAAACTGACACTGATATAAAAGATATTAGCTAAAATGTCATATAAAGGAGTCCCTCCCATTTCTTACAACAATAAATTATTTGTTCAAGAACAACCAATAAAAGATTCAACCCACTTTAGCAAACAGAACTTTGGAAGCCACAGTAATATTAAAAAGCTTCAACATACGAATACTTGATTTGAATGAACTGCCCCTGAAGCAAGCGAAGATCAATTTAAATTTTGCAAAGGTTTTCAGTTCTTTGAAAGAGTTGATCCAAAATTGCAAAATTATGGGATGCCAACTTTATCCACTGAATGGTGTTATGAGCTCTCATCCAGTTTTCATTAGTCAAATGGTTGCGATTTTTGATATTTTCCAAATACACATTTTGGCAGGTAGTGAGCTGGATCCCTAACCAAGGATACTAGTGCTATATACCCAGATGCTGCTGCCAACTCATGGTACAGAAAAAGGATGACACATGCAAGAGAAAATACTTACCAGATATTCCTTTTCTGGATAAAGAACATTATTCAAAAGACAGCAAGTTATTCTACTTTATGTTATACTGCCATTAATTCATCCAATAAAACTAGATGCAAGAAAGTCAAATATAAGTTAAATTAGCATTCCTTTCCATAATATATGGTGGTCACTGGCAACTAGGATGCCTTTTTTAAATTAGATAGGTATCTGATCTGACTCGAGAAAACTTTTGTTATGGTGCTAGTTATTGCTGTGAGCTTCAGAGGAGTGTGCTGATTGATCCTAACAGGCTGTATCTAAAGAAATTACTAGAGAAAGGCATAGAGGTGAAAGAGAAGGGGTAGTTTTGCTTCCTCTTTTCTCCCACTGGAGCAGCAAGCAACCCATCAGGGACATTGACCTAGACTAGAAAATACTGCAGGAACTACCCAGTTATGACCATAGCTGTAACCAGCCACAGGAGAAAAGGGGCAGAGAGCCACTGCCAGATACACTGCTACAAAGGGATGGTATTTGAACAATAATGGATTGGAGATACTTATATAAGGATTAAATAAGGCTATGGTAAAAAAAAATGTGACATTGAAGACAGGAATAAATTGGAGACATTGGTTTGGTGTTGTAACAGTACGGTTGATGGACAGTGGAGCTCTGTGAATCCCGGCTGATTCTTCATCATTGGTGGCCCCTAAGGGGCTAAAGTCACCCTGGTGGGGTGACAAAGAAAGGAGGGTCTCTTGCTGATTGCGGGGAGCGGCAGCTCTTCCATTTGATTCAAGGCGCCCTCCCAGCCAACACAGAAGAGTGATGACCATTATGGCCGACCAAACCTCGGGCAACCAAAGAAGCTGGAGCGGTTTGAGAAAAGTGGATTGGAACTGGGTGAGATGTTTTTCAATTTTTTTTTTTACTAAAGACCCATTTTAAATAAAAGAACTTTTGAAAGACTCTGATGCACTGAGAAAACGCCGAATTAACAAATGGAGAAAAAGTATAGACCCAAAAGAGAAATGAAATGTTAACAGAAGAATTTCAAGTTTTAAAATAATGAAAGTCTGAACTGGAACTTGTGGTGTTATTATAAGTAACCCATCTGCCCCTTTATGATAAAATGCAACCCCCAAGTGCCAGAAATGGGAGTGGAGGAGGAAGTTGGGGCAATTGTGGACAACGGAGGCACCTGATACTTAATCAGCATGTTGATTGTGGAGCAGCTAGGTATATGCACAAGACCCCTAAACCATCCCATTCAGTTTGAGCAAGTGGATGGAACACTGATTGGGGGTGGGAAGCAGCTACAAAAATTACCGAGTTGGTAAAGTTAATGATAGGCCACCACTATGAATTCCTCAGATTCATCGTAGCTCCAAGAATGCAGGAATCAATTACCTTGGGGCTTGCATGGCTGGACAAGTGGGTGCCTACAATAAAGTGGGAGGACGGCGTTAGAAAATTGATTATCAGCTTTGGGCTGTTACCACCAGTGGAGCCAAAAGGCCAGCCAGGAACAATTGAACCCAACAGCCCAGACCATCCAGAACCTGCAGCACCTGCAGCAGATACCACACCCCCAGGGATCCA